GAGAACAAGAGAGTCTCACTTAACAGCCAACTGGGAAATGTATTTTCTGCTGCTATACATTTTGTTTATTATTTAGGATCTGAGCCATTTTCTTTACATGTTTATCTCCTTATAAATGGAAAAATCTGGCCTAGAAGATGTGTGAGGAAAGTTGATGTGCTCTGGGTGGCTGCTCAGAGGCTGCAGACAGGCAGGGCAGGGCTGGCACAGCCCAGGTGCCACCTGACATCCCAGGGGTTTTGGTAGCTAACCTCAGGCACTTGGCTCTGAGATGTCTCAGAGCATCTGCCTTTGGATGGGGAAAGGTTTCCAACAGGTGTTTATAAACTTTGATGCACTTTAAAGATGTCTTTCCCCACCGGTATCTGTTAGGTCTGACTGGAAAAAGCCCCCCCTGCAGGTGAAAATCCTGTTTGGAGGTCCTGACCCCAGCCCAGAGTCTTGCCCAGGTTCACTGCTGGGAAGGGGCATGAGGGTCCCATGGCTTGAGGTTAAGTTCAGGCTCTGGTGGACCTGCTCTGCCACCTGTTCCCTTCAGTTCTCCTCCAAGGAGACCAGAGCCCCCAGCTCCACAGCCCCTGCTCCGTGCTGGCCTGGCTTTAGGCTGTCCACAGAGCAGCCAGTACAGGGACATCCCATTTGCAAACTACCACAAGAAATGCTGTGGCTGTGCTGCTAGTGGAGGCCCAGGGGGTCAAACACAGATGGGCCCAGCTTGTGTCTGTATCTAAGAGCTCCTTGCACTGGTGAAGCAGCAGGAACCCCCAGGGTCAGTGAAGGGCTGGATGCCACCGTGCCAGCAATGAGCCCCGTGGCACCTGGTGGCAGTGGCTGAACAGTAACAAGGATTTTAGAGCAGTTTCTTTCCTGTGATCAGTGATACCTTCTCCAAGCTTCCCCTTGGAGATGAGTCCTTTTCTCTTTGCTAGGGTTGGGTTTTTTTAAGTGAGCCCTGATGCACTGGCGGAATAATGTGACTTAAGGCATTAACATTTTAAGGAAAAAAGCCCAGTGCTTTGCATGAGAGACAGCAAAATCCCAGCAGTTGGAAACACTGCATGCAGTTACTTACCTCAGGGACATGGGGCTTGCTGCAGTGTGGTTCATTGGTTTGGTGTGCAGGAATGTGTCCCCAGAGCCATGTCACACTGAGAAGCAGCACTGAGCTGTGGCTGTGGTGCTGCCCTAGCAGCAGCGAAGGGAAGTCAGGCAGGTTAATGGAGACAGCTAGAAAAGCACACTGCACTGAGTGTCACCCACCAAGGTGATTAACTAAGAGGACAGTGTTTTACCTGTGTACATCATATTTCCTTAGCACTTCAAACGTGGCAGTAGGTACTGAGGCTTGTCATTAGGATGCCAGAGGATATTCAGGGCAAAAGAGAGGAAAAAGTCTGTGGAAGGGACAAGGAACAAAACTAAAACCTCTTTCAAAAGTCTGGTGGTTGGTATCCAGGCAAGACAAAAGACAGGGACTTCAAAATTAGAGCATATTCCTCATATTTCTCTAGTGTGTCCAGCTGGTATGGTGGTGGCAGTGCCACAGGTTGGGCTGAGCCTGCACCTCCATGAGCACCCACCGAGATGGCATCACCAGAGCTCACACATGGCCCTGGCGCTGAACAGGCTGAAATTGTCTAAATACATTTGTTCTGGGTTAAATTAATTCATGAAATTTGACAATTGATGCCAGACTTTTTAATTATCCCCAGATTACCTCAATAACAAAGTCGCTCGGATGCTTGCACATCCTTTAGAGTTAAATTCCCTGCAATCTTGCTCATAATGTGTCCCGTGGGCTGACAGCTCCCTGGTGTACAGCCTGTTACTGAACATACACTGGTGTTCCATAAATTATATCATATCCAGAGCAAAGAGCCTAATCCATGGCTAGACACAGCTCCCATCTACGTCAGCAGAAATCAGCTCTTTGGCATCCTGTTTCTCAAGTTCTTCTGGGAAAAAGCAATTCCTGCAAGAGGCCAAATGAGTCTGGGCATTTCGCCGTTTTTTCCCAGGAAGGGAAGGGAAGGGCTGGTCCTGTAGCTACAGTCTGAGGGACACCTGCCTGGGGGCAACGTCAGTGCTAGCAGCAGTACAGGTGAATTTTAGCTTCAGAAGATAAAGGCAGCTGAACTGGACTTCATAAAATACACGGTGTGCTGGGATTTTTGCCTATACCAGCTCGGATGTGCCCACTTCCATAAAGAAACCAGCACCAACCCGTGCAGCTGTTTACCTGGCAGGACTCCCCAGACTTCTCCCTTCTTCACAGTCATAGCCAGCAGTCTTTTAGAATCTACACTTTGTGAATCCAAACCCAGCCCTGTTTTGATTTGGTCCCTTGCAGTGTGGTGCTGACAGGGAGTGTTTTGTGGCAGACCCTCAGGGCACCCCATGCTCACACGAGGACCTTGCTGTGCCCTCTCCTCTTCACAGGTTCCCAAAGCCACACACACCTCTTCACGCTGCTCACTTTTGTCAGCGCAGGTATTTTTAGCCTGAAGATTTTCTATGAGGGTGGTGAGACACTGGCCCAGGTTGCCCAGGGAAGCTGTGGCTACCCCATCCCTGGCAGTGTTCAAGGCCAGGTTGGGTGGGGCTTGGGTCTGGTGGGAGGTGTCCCTGTCCATGGCAGGGGGTTGGAATTTGCTGGTCTTGTAAGTTCCATTCCAGCTAAAGCCATTCAGCAGTTCTATGATTGTTAGCCTTTGTCTGTTGCCTCCTTGTCTTTAAACACTGACAGGTCCTGGGCTGTGTGGCACCTTACATGGCAAAAACCAGTAGCATTGAGCTCACCCATGTGCAGAAGCCCGTGGTCTCACAGGGTTGCTCCACCATGCATTGGAAGGACAGGATGGGAAGGCTTTACACTGACTTGCTCACACTAGAGGGGTGTGGGGTTGGTAAAGCTGGAGGGACAAACCCTGTATATTTGTTCTGCTTTGGTTCCTGTCTCCTGTGATGGACCAAAACAGATGTGAGATTTGAAGCAAAGGCATTGTTAATCTCACCCAGGCTGAAGTCAGATGAGGAGTTTCTTCATTTTATTACTAAATAAACATTGCAGAGGTACCAGGGCCTCTGCCAGCCTTCATGTCCCCAGTGGTCTCAGCATGGGCCAGGTGGGCTTGCTTTGCTTCTGCTTCCTATTAAGCTGGTTTCAGTAGCCCCGAGAGCTGAGGGCTCTCAAGACTTGATCATATCACTGAAACTGGAGCAGAGAAACGCAACAGGCAGTAGGGCAGGACCTGGCCCCTTGCCTGGTGTGGCTGGTCAGAGCCCCCCCCCCCCCCAGCCAAGCCAGGAGGAAGGTGGCAGCCCTTGGGCTTATGGACACACAGACACAACCCCCGAGTTGATGGCAGAGGGATACACCTGAGGAGGGAGTTGGCAGGAAGGGGTGGATAGGCACAGAAACCAGGTTTGTAAAGGAGAAGCGATTTCATGTTGTCTGTCTATTTCTTAACCTGAATTTCTCTTTTTGTCTCCCATACTAGACAGCAGGGGCAGCTGGGATTGCAGCTATTTTGCAAGTCCCGCTATTTCTCCAGGAGTATTTCATATATACCAGGATCTGCCTTTGCACTGTAACCCAGCACAAGAAAATGCCTCATCTTTCATTGCATCGCTCTAATTCTAAATTACTGGCACTGCCCAGCAGGATGCACACAGCAGCAATGGCACGTTCTTGAATGTCAATGTTAAGACCTATTTATTCTCTATTGTTGTTTTTTTTAAATTATTATTATTTTTAAAGCAAGACTGGCACTGTACCTTGCAGAAGGCTGGCACAGCCCAGCCAGGGTCACCAATGGGGGAAAGTGGTGGTTACAACTCTGACACCAACATTGTTCTCCCCGTGTAGCGTCTCCTGCGTCACCATCTCCTGTTTTCTCCAGCCTAGGGAAGAGGAGCAGTAGATGTCTGCAGCTATGGGGGGGAAAAAAAAGCAGAGCAGAAGTGAGGCTCTGTTGGAGGCTTGTCCCCCCTATGGAAACCCAAGTGTTCCCCACTAACAGGAGCACCCTACTCCTGGTCTTAATGGCAGAGGGAATATGAAGTCAGTTTCTTCTGGTGCTGCAGTCCCAGTAATAAGAGCTCCCAGGAGACAATTGCACATACACTGCACTGATGCTGTTCTTTTGTCTGCTGGAATATTCTCCATTCAAACATTCAGCATTTGAAATTGACCAAAGCCCCTGAGACACTAACCCTGTAGCTGGCCCAGCAGGCGAAGCACCAACAGAAGGTCCTGCTTGGTCATGTGCATGGGTTGCAGGGGCAGGAGGAGCAGGCTTAAAACATAGCTCCTTAGGAATGAGGGGGAGGGAGGGAAAGGATTGCCACCTCAAATTAAATATTGCAGTGAATGACAACTAGAACCTTTTTTCAGAAAACTTTTGGTATTGAGCAGGTTTTTGTTTCGTTCCTGCTGGTGAGTTGTGGATGCAATGGTCTGGACACACCCAGAGCACAAGTGTCGGGTGTCTGTGCTGGATGCTTCAAGGATCTTCCTTATCCCCCACCCCCTTGTGCCCCCACCCCCTTCCTGCAAAGGTTCAGTTGTAATTAACCTAAACAAGCAAACAACTCTTAACATACCCACTCTGCTCTTGTTTTACAGATTATATGAAAGAATCTGTGTGCAGCTCCAGCACTTGTTCTCTGAATAGCAGTGAAAACCCATATGCCACCATCAAAGACCCCCCCATTTTAACATGCAAACACTCCGAGAGCAGCTACGTGGAAATGAAGTCACCTGGTCACAGGGAATCCCCATATTCAGAAATGCCAACTTCATCGACCGCCAATAAGAACATCTACGAAGTTGGTGAGCAGGGCAGGCAGCTGCAGGTCTATCCCAACAGTTGGTGGTTCCATTGTAGATGCTGATTTTTCTTCCTTTCACAAGTAGCAACTGGGCACGGTGCAGGGAGACACTGGCTTGGGGGGAGGGGGTCTGTGCATGAGCATGTTGGTTTGGGGAGAAAAGCCCTGGGTGGTGGGGATGTGAGTAAAGCTGTGAGGGAAAGA